AGTGGAAAGCAGAGGAGATGCGAGATTTGAGTAACCAATCAGATATCGGATCCAAGGGGCTACTCCGAAAGGCTGTTTACGTAGTTTCGGGTCTATCTGTCACCGTCGCTCATGGTAGCATCTCGCTTTGTGCAAAAGAGATGGCAACATCTGAAACTTTGAATGACGTTTTTCGGAGTAACCCCGCAAAGCCGAGCAGAGACAAAACCAAATCTCTCGTCTTGAAAACCGGGCCTTATTCTAATTTTAGAAAATCAAATTCAACTGGACTATCAACTATTCAACACTATGCAAGTACTTACATGAGTGAGCGCTAAGCACGAGCAGGTCTTGCGGTGGACCAGCGCTCCGAGGCGGGACTTGCCCTTGACGATGCAGTAGGGCACACCCATCTTACGGCACAGGGCGGGCAGGAAGAGTACCAGCTGAAATAAGAGAATAGGTTTGTTATTAAGTAATCTATCCCAAAATATTTTAATTATAGTTATTATGGCTATAAATAAGTCTCATGCAAACAGATTGGGAGTGGAATTCACCTTTAAGCCTTGATCACACGTACCGAGTAAACAGGCGAGACAGTAAAATGTTTACTCGGTCGAGACAGTTGGGTGAGCAAGTCACATACTCGAGCGCTCGGCGTAGTGTACGTTACTCCAGCTGGAAAGTAGCTCCTAGAGTGATATGAGTAGAACGTATAATTAGTTCCCAACGTGGTGTAANTACACCTCGGCGTAATGTTCATACACACCGAGTACTCGGCCGAGAGCACTGTCTCGCCCGTTTGCTCGGTACGTGTGATCAAGGCTTTAGGGCAGAAACTGCGTTAAGCGGGCACCGCGCGATTTCATACAAAGTGCTCCGTCGCGGGCACCCGCGCGGCGGACTTTCGTATGAAACCGCGAGGGCGTCCGCTTAACGCAGTTTCGGGCCTTAGATATCTTTCCTAAACATTGATTTGGGGAAAAATCTTGATTTCCAAAGGCTCAGAGTCATATCTCTTCATGCAGCGTGCTTGTAACATGTTACATGCAGCCTCAGGTGAAGAAATTCTTTACATCACTGCCAATGATCAAGATTTGATGCAATAAGTTACAAATTATTTGCGAAATTAATAGTGTCACAGTTATGGTATATGGTTATGTAATATACGCGTTTTATTCATAGAGATATGCAGGGCATTGAAAATGTAGAATCAGTTCTGATTGTTCATAACAAAATTAGACTATTTAAATGGAGTAGTTGACAATATTATTCTATTAAAAAAACAAAATGTGCTATTGCAATGGAAATGTCACATTTCAGTATATTTTTAGCGTTAAAATATCAAATTGACTAGTGATGTCACCTATTTGAAGTACAGTAGAATCTCGATTATCCGGACCTCGATTATCCGGATATCCGATTATCCGGACTCATTCTTCACGGTTTCTAATTACCGATTCAGGTTCTGGACCCATATAAACCGAAGGCGTTGCCACCCTAACATGGTACGGACGTCTTCTTAGTTCATTGTTAAAAGAAATGGATGACCAATAACTAAAATTTAGATTTTTAGACTCTAAAATGATGTATTGAAAACCCTTTCTATTGTAAAAAGTTAATTAATGAATTCTTTCTTTGAAATCGATTATCCGGATTTTCGATTATCCGGAACACCCCTGGTTTTAATTGATCCGGATAATCGGGATTCTACTGTAAAATTATAACACTAGAACACAAAAATCAATACATACCTCAATGGGGTCAACATCGTGAGCGATGACGACCAGCTGAGCCTTCTTCTTCTCAACCAGCTTGGTCACCGTGTTGGTGCCAGCACGGATTGTGTTGGGCCTCTTCGCTGGGGGTTCTTCCTTCTTGGCGACCTGTAATAAAGGTTAATTGTAGAATTGTTCTGGAAATTTTGGTTGGTGGGTATGTGGCAGGATGATCAGAGATCTTGGTGGTCGAGTGTCCTCATGGCAATTGGTTAAATGATTGTTATGCATCATGTTCTGGGGCAGATTAAGGATTTGCAAATAAACTGTTGTTGTTTGTAAAATTGTATCAGTTTATTCAAGTGTGACAGACTGCTAGTTGTTATAAGAATAAATTTAAATAAAATTGGAATTTCGTGGGTTGTGTGTATGAACCACATTGCTCATAAAGAGAGAATCATATAAAATAAACAAATCCAGTCAATGATAATTTGATAAAATTAACCCACTTGTTACTAGCGTTCTTTTAAAAGAACGCTAGTTTTTACATAAATATTTTCACTAATGTGGGTAGTGTAAACTATTTTTATGTGCAACATTTGAAAGATGAGGTGTGTGTGTCGCAGTACTGTCCAAGTCTTATAAGTAAACTGACGTAAATAACTATAAAGTTTTGAAGCAATTGTTTTGAGATAAATTTATCATTAAGTGATAGAAAAAGTGAATTCCGTAACAAGTGGGTTAACTTGGTATTACACTTACTTTAGCTTCGGCAGCTTTCTTTAGACGTTCCTTCCTGACGGCTTCAGTCTCTGGCCTGTATTTCTCAAGGATTTTGAACAGACCCTTGGCTGCAATGCAATAATAAATCTAGCATTAGAAATAAATACTTATTGCAAAGAAATTATTTTGAAAATAGAATGCATCAGAGTTAAAAAGCTCGTATATTTTTTTGATAATCATAGTGATTCATAGTTGCATTTGGAAAATCATCATGTAAAGTAGTAACAGGTTTGTGGTCTGAGAACAGGTTTTTTTTCATACATAATTAATAAACAAGAAATAAGACTATTCTTCATAACAAATTGTGTAAATTCAATCAATACATCAAGGAAAGGTATTTGCAAAATACTGAAACAGTTCTAACAGAAACAAATGACTTTTATATCAAATACAAGATTTCTGATGAAGTTCTCTCAGGGCATAATTTTTAAGCTGCACTTAACATTTAAAAAAATGGCATCAGTCTGAAGACTTAATTTGATAATAATTTATTATGATAAGTCCGAGTTAACATTCACTACAAATTGAGGTAATTCTATTATTTCTCAGACCACAATTTAGTCTCATTTATACAATCAACCTCGCAACATTAATAATAACAAAACAAACCTGTAGTCTTGTCGAGTGTCTGCGTGAACTGGTTGATTGGCGGGGGCACCTTCAACCTGCGCTGTAGCACGGCCTTCTGCCGCTGAATGCGGATGTACTTCGGCCATCGCACAAAGCGGGACAGGTCACGAGTGGGCTGAATGTTCTGGCCTAAGCAAAAGAGACCCTATTAACACACTTTTATAAATTAAATTGCATTTGGAAGTTAAGGTGCGTAATCAGTGTTAAAAAGCTCGTATATTTGTGATACCACATGGTTTCTTCGGATTATTGTTTTACATCATTTTGATAACCTACTTGTTTAAATACTGTTCCTACATGTGCTCAATGTATGTAGTGGTAGTTGAAAGAAATTCCTTTGAAGTTTGCAAAAATTGGACAAATTAAACACAAAATAAAGAAAATTTAAACACTAGGCTACTGACTAAATCACTGCAAACCACGATTCTAACCTAAAAATACAATTTTCTTCAAATCAAAACTTGTTTGTATCAGTCACTGAACTTAATTTTAACGCAAAAAGATACAAATAACTCACCAATAGCAAAGTTTTTCATACGCTTCTCGAATAGGGGGTTGACAACCTTTTTGGGTTCAACCTTCTTCACGACCAGAGGGGCGGCCGCTACTTTCTTCCCTACCTTCTTCTTCGGCTGAAAACAAACACGAATTTACTATCGATTCTCCTACAGAATTCGGTGATAACTTGAGAAACTTGAACATCAGAGATCTTGGAGATAATATAGCGGTAATCACGGCATTCATAAGTTTTTTAGCATCATGTTGATTTGAGGTTAGGTCTATTGATTTCAGAGTTTAGTTTGTCCACAACATTTAATTTACACAGTTTAACTGAAAACACCACATAAACACACGCGGCTTTCTAAATAACAAATGCAATTACTGAGGCAAAACACTAAACAAGAAAACAGGAGGTCGTCACCTAAACATGTTACCATGAAGTTCACGGTATCGACATAATTTTCACTATTTCGCACAAAAATACCGTAACTAACACAATCCACATTGCTTTTACCTTCTTTTGAACCATCTTGAATAGTTTTTAGATCAGTGATCTAAAGGCCACGAAAGGATACGTGACCTAAACCGAACACCAAACTTTCGGCGAATATGGCCGAAAATAAAAAGATGGAATTTTTCAACAATGTCAGTGACACTGACGTTTCAATATTAAAAAAGCAACTGTCATAGTCTATGGTCACCTAGCGCCCTCTGTGAAACAGTTGAGCAAAAATAGTGAAATGCTTATTGTTGCGATTTTCATTAACGTTATTTAGGTTTGTGCCTTCGAGCAAATATTTTTATGGAGATACCTGAACGAAACGATGACCATAATAGTAATTTAAAAGAAATTAGGTTTTATCATAATCTGCTTTAATTTTAGTAAAAATGCAAAATAATATTATTATTTATTTGTTTATTAGGTAAGGTTATGAGTCGTAACAAAATATTTCTTACAAATAAAAAGAATTAGTTGTGCGACATTACAAAGTACGTTAACTGAATTTTTATGGTTTTTTAAGTTTAGTGCTTGATAGGTACTTGGTATTTTATTACAGAAGTGGAATATTTTATACTCACAACTTTATTTCAGTTTTATGGATTGCGCGTTAGGGAAACAAATACATTTTTACAGTTTTACTATGTTTTACAAAAGTTATTTATTTTTTGTTTTAGGTGAGATAAAATATAATTTCTTATATATCTCAAAATCAGTTAATGAGTCCGTTAATTTAAACATTGTTAAAAGTAATTTTTACTTCCATAATGAATGACTAAGGTACTTATCCGTTACCTTATCGCTGTAGTAAGATTCTAATGATTATCGTATTTTCAGCGACTGCATCTTTTACATGCGCCGTCAAAGTGAACATGCAGGGTTCGCTAAGTCTTGGCAAAGACGTAATGGATACCTTATCCTACTATTTATTTAGCGGTTACAACATGATGAGTGGCAGGCGGGCCATGAATGGCAATCTAGACCCTATACCTGACGAGGTAAAGTCCGCTTCTCTTTGCAAGAAACTGGATTTCTGCAAGGGTAAACTAGAAAAGTTTGTGAACGAATACGTCACTTCGTTAGCTCAAGGTATCGAGGCTGTTTTTGACGGAATCTTCAATGAAAAAGCTGAAGCTAACTTGGAGATGACGACACCAATCTTTGGAAAGCTCAAAGGCTCTCTGAGTGAAGTAAGAAAGATACTGAAGGTGGCAAATGATAAGGTAACGGAGGCTAAGGAAGCCTTCCTATGGACGGCAGCCATGAAGAAAATCAGCTCAGTGTTCCAGATGAAATCAATCACGTATATAGTCGATAGATTGGACAAAGATGCTGATGAAATCAAAAAGAAACTGACACAGAAACTGGTCATCAATATAGCTGCTGCCGAAGGGAGGGCAGAGAGGAAACTCTGTTACGAGTACCACATCTGTTTGAGGGGTATAGAATGTACTAGAGCTCTGAATAGTATGCTAGAGAAATTAATCACATTGCCTGATGACAAGATTAAGACTTTCATGAAGGCATTCTACGAGGCTCTGCCTGAAACTACCTTTTATTCCCGCCTAAGTGAAGTAACAGCCAATGAGCTTCAAATAATACTGAACGATATGGCGTATTTCGACAATGTACCGACTAGGGAAATCCTTACGTCGATTCAAACTACGGTCGAGAACAGAATTAATGTTTTAGACTCTAATGCAGCTGCAAAGAAAGGCCAGGATATCCAATTAGTCCATATTATTCTGTCAGATATGGATCATATTTATAGTAGACAGAAGAAAGCACCTTTTCACCGTTTCCTGAACGATTTCGCGGAATGGACACGAGCTGGTGGTCGGATTTCTACACACGTGGTTGACGTGGTCAAAGATATTGAAGACCATTTGACATCTACGTCAGAGGATCTAGTGACGAAATTAACAAATGAAGTCAGAGTTTTTCTAGAAATTACTGTAGACCCGTAGGACTTGAACGAATAGAAGTTGAAAGTAGAAGTTTTTGGATGAGAACACAAGTGTAGGTATTAATAGATTAAGGCCGCCTAAACTGCACTCGTATCTTTTCAACTTGCGTTTACTGTGATTGGATCTGTGAGGTGCACTTACAATAAAATATTTTTTCTGTGTTCAATTATTTTAGAGATTTAGTTTAAAATTACAATACTACAACAAAGCAAGTAATGTCGTAATAATGTTATTTTTTGTCTTTAGATGTTAAATCCATTAAAAACCATTTAAAATTGATACCCATTTGGTACCAAAGCTCTTAGATTGCGCCATATTCTCTTACAATAGCAATAAAAACGGTATTATTTCTTCCATTTGCAACAAACTAGTTTAACTATTTTCTGAACGGAAAGAAAATCGCATTAAAATAGATTACGCAATAAGTTTCGCCGTGAACGCAAAGTTTTATGTTCAAAGTGTAAGCGTAAAATATGTTTATGAAAGTGTCACATCTATTATATTCTTTATCGGCCTATTAAGCTAGAGGAGACGGGGCAACCTTGGTCTTGCAGAAAGTTATCTATCTGTACAAGATTAAGTACTTGTACTATAGTCTGGTCCGGGAGCACGTAGAATTTTGTCCAATGACCCCAAGCTACCCATCCTTATCGCTCGCGCGTAGTTATGTTGCTGTCGCGCTCGCACACTCACTGCGGGCGCCCGTCAAACAGTCGCNGACCCCAAGCTACCCATCCTTATCGCTCGCGCGTAGTTATGTTGCTGTCGCGCTCGCACACTCACTGCGGGCGCCCGTCAAACAGTCGCGACAGCAATATAATTACGCGCGAGCGATAAGGATGGGTAGCTTGGGGTCATTGGACAAAATTCTACGTGCTCCCGGACCAGACTATAGATGTGACATTGCGAGTCTACGAGCTCATCTTAAAAAGCTTTTTGGTTGAAAATTACTTTTGGAAGAAAATTATAATATGATGAAATGAAAATTAATCATCAATTAATAAATCCTGAAATATTGAAACAAGGTAACTACACAAGTTTTATTTATTTAATCTTCACATAAACAAAGGTATTTAATTAAACATGCTCGTGCCGTAAAATAAAGTAATTTGTCTCACTCACACACAAATGTCATTTTATAAAAAAACGGGTCCCCAATTTCCTCTCGGAAAATAAATTTAAAAACTCATTATCCTTTTCCATTGAGATTTAAACCGCCCCATGACAACCAAACCATCAGTAACGAACAATCAATGGGTTTTTCCTTTAACTTCCCCTTTGAAGGCATAACAAACAGATATGCATTGAGGACTTCTATTTTTTTTTTTGCAATATTTCACAAAAAGGGCTTCCATCCACTTGGCTGGTTTTAATGAAAAATTGTAAAGATTTGTCTCGATCTATCACAAAAAGTCTTCATCGTCGCTCGTGACACATTTTTCTTGCAAATTCTTCAAAGTCCACTATAAATTATAAATTATAATCTAGCTGTGCGCCTGTGCCTGCGACTTCGTTACGCGTGAATTACAGTTTGAATATTTTTTCCCGTTCTCGCAACATTTTTCATTCATGTCTCCTTCCTCGATATAAAAAATACATAGTTGTTAATTTACAGTACTTACCTAACTTAGTTCCTGAGAATTAACGTGTTCACCAAACAAACAAACGAAAACGTAAAGTAATAGTTAAGTAGATGCCTATGATGTATAAGTAATTATTATTACCTATGTACCTACACTAGATCTCCTCACGAACCACAGCTGTGTAGTACTGAAGTGTAGTTTTCAAAGAGCTCAGTGCGTCCCTGTATCATATAACCCTTTGGGAATATTATATCGGGAATCGACCGCGTTCTTAGAAACGTTGTTAACTGCACGCTGCACATTCGCATGTCCTACTTGTTTTAATAACTCAGAGATACTTGTGCTGCAAGTTTTGTAACCACAATAGGGAAGAAAAAAGAGAGTTTCACTTGAAATCCTCAATCAACAATAGAATAAACGTCATGCTCCTCAGCAACCCCTATGACTGTTATAACATTTTTTTTCTCAATTAGTACACCTTTAAAGAAAAATGTACCTTTGTAGATTACAACGTACAGTTATTTCTATTTGGGGCTGCTGTAGAGCATCTTCCCAGCAACCCCATATTGAAATTTCAGGTAATTCGTTGGTTATAACAGTCAGGGGTTGCTGAGGAGCATGACGGTAAAATAATTGACTAACTTCCTTTCAAGCGCTGAAATACATAGGTACACAAAGTCTAGACAGGTGAACTTAAAACGGACTGAAAATTTTGCTTCCTCTGGGAATCGAACCCAGAATCTCTGGGTGAGAGACAGGAGGTCTTACTAAAGCGGATATCGACAAAAGTAAAACTACAACCTACACTCCTCGCGCCCCTCGATAGATTCATATTCACGAATGTATTTCAGCCACTTTTATTTTATTGAGTTTAACGGCAATATTTTGCGCAATATTTCTTTTTCACGCAACTGACAAATGCGATAAAAATAAGTCGCAATCACTGAAAAAGTTTTATTCCACTCTGACCTATGATTTCCAATGTTTTTTATTATTTTCAGACATTTAATCAAAATCACAAAACCAGTTTCAGGGACGTATCACATCACATTCTACTACATTTACATTACTATCTACATTCTATTGAAAATTGGAAAAATAAATCGACTACTTTTTCACTTTGCATGTCGTCCTAGTATTTTTCTATCAGTACGCGATCAAGCTAGTACTATTGTCTTTGAAATTTTAACTCATCAGCATAGAATGCATAAAAGACGTTTGTCGCAAGATGTTACAGTAATAATTAATCTCTCATTTGACTAAATCCAAGTGAACAAAGCGGAACAAACATGCGAATTGCGGTGTGAAAAATCGCCAAGTGGATATCACAGTCGATTTGGCGACATCAGAAATATGGAATTATCGGAATTGTTAAAAGCAAGGCGGTTCTCGTGGTCGAGGGACCATGAAATACGGGAGGTGTGTGAGTGTGATAGAGTTATTGGATGACGGTTTGCAAAGCGAAGCTATTTTATAAAGGAAATATTGTTTTGAAAACCGCCTCAGTATGTAATTCCAGTGATCATTATTTCATACGGATAAACTTACGAACTAAATAACTTTACCTGTTTAATGATTAATTATAACAGAATCACCCCTTTAACTTCAGTTTTACAAAAGAAAAAAGAACTGTCAAAAATTACACTTCACTTTCCCGCCAAAAAGTAAGAAAATACTCCGTTTACGTGGCTACATGCCGAAAATGCCATGAAAGATAAAAAAGAATTCGTTATTTTTCGTCTCAGAGTGACATTAAAAATCCCAACCCCTTTATTGTCCTGTACGTTTTGTAACAGTACTTCCCTGTGGAATCCAATTTGTGTCCTTTTAAAACTTCTGCTTCCAGAAGAAGAACAGATAAAACAATCTGACAATAAATACAAAACAATGTGGAAAATTATAAATACAAAAACAGGAAAAGCTAATTTCAAAATTTATAAAAATATTAAATTAAGATTTGAAGATAAACTTACCGATTGTCCAAAAACGGTGTGTGAAATATTTAATAAAACTTTCTCTGAAATAAGTAAAAAAAATACAAAATTAAAATCCAATGTCTGCCAAGTCATAAACTCACCAGCATGTTCCATGTATCTGCAACCCGTAGATCAAAAAGAAATTAAAAAAATCATAGCGTCTCTAAAAAATAAACAAAGTAGTGGTATAGATGAGGTCCCACCAACATTAATAAAACAATGTAGCGAGGAGCTGTCTGAGCCTTTAACACACCTCATAAATCAAAGTTTCCAAGAAGGCATCTTCCCAGATTTATTAAAGATTTCATTAATTAAACCGATACATAAAAAAGACGATACTACCATAGCCAACAACTATAGACCTATAGCTCTCCTNATAAAGCTATAATAAAAAAAATAATAAAAATGGATTTGGTCTATTTTGCTTGAAGGTATCAGTATTCGTATCTACGAGTAGCTGTGATTAAATAAATCTGTTCAGTCATTTAAAGATACATTTTCTAATTAATAAAGTTAAGAGAACAGCTGCACATAAGTTGTCATGAACTCATGAGACGTCATCTGGTAAAAATTGGCGGGAAAATCTCAAAATTTGTCAAGATAGGAATAATTGAATTTAAGACCAGACAAGACCATAATAAAGCATTTTAAATGCACCTCCACGGCAAAAAGACCGCAAAATAAAATTACCACAATATCATTCTGAACACGTCGAAAATATGGGGCTCGTTTCCTCAACAGATTTTTAGGGTTCTTTTTGAAAGAAAGAAAGAATTGCATTAAAATTTACCTGTAGTAAAAATTTATATTAGCATGGAAGTGTTTGATAATTTTTGCGAGTCTACTCAAAAGCCCGCAATCACTCAGCAAAAAAATATGGAAAACTTGCAAAAAATGGGTTTACCCCGTGTACCAGGCTGTAGAAAGTGTTGAATAATATGACAGATTAAAAACAAATCATATTTCTTCAGTAATTTTGTTTTTGCTAATATGGATCTCAGAGTGCAATTTTGGTCCAAAAAATTTACAACTTTTTTATCTGTTTATAATGTTTTATCCCAAATAGTTATATAAAGAAATTTTGATTATAAAAGAACTTTAATAAACACTTTTATCATTTACATAGTAATTTTATTCATAAATTGCTTACAAACTGATTTACAGTGATTTTAAATTGGCTTACCAGAGTAGGCCACGCGTGTATTGGTGTAAAAAAAGGGGCGCGTGTACTGTAGTGTTAACAGTGAGATGGAGCGTACCATGTGTTTTAAAAAAAGTCCTTGTCAAAATTTAAAATTTAGCGTTTACCTAGTTAAAAGTTGTGTAAACAAAAATTTACTCTTGATAGAGAGTTATAAAAACCAACTTTTTTATGTTTTAGCATAGCTCACAAGGATAGCTACTGAAGTGAATGATAGACACACTTAACTACCCTTTTCCTAAGACTTTAATAAGCTGGACGCTTGTGGACACTAAAGTGAAATGCTACAATGCGCAAAAAAGTACTCGCGGAACCACAAAATCTCTACCAAGTCACCATCTTGACATTTTTACATTTTAATTTCCGACTTCCCAGCGCTTTCGGCGTC